GTAGATTTTTTCTTTTTAAATAACCACTGTGCCATTTCAAATTTTCTAGTTAACTATCTGAAAAAGAAGAATTACATGTTCAATGGATTTTCCAACTCTATAAAAGATAGAAAATATATATTAGCTATATTTAGAGTGTAGTTATTTTGGAAATTTCAGTCTGGAAAGACTCTTATGAACAGAGATCAGAAAGTGCAGTTCTATATAAGCCGTTAGGTCTAGGTTAGAGACCTGTTAGAAACCCCGGAGTCTGACACTAGTGGTGACATGGAGCGCGAGAATGAGGGGAGCCGTTGGGAGTCCAGTGAGGTGAAGGTGGAGAAGGTTTGAAGGAGGGATGTTGATCAGCAGGAAGTGAGGATGGCCATGTCAGTGACCACCTTATGTCAAGGCAAGGAGTTGCAATAGGCTGGCTCATGATGAGGAGCTAATTTGTAGTTTTTCCTCCACAATGAATTTGCACCACCTTCATCAGTCATTGTACAAAATGCTAAAAGCTCCATTTGTTAGTATATGTATATTACAAAAGCTTAGCTTGCTCTTCATCAACTTTAGCCAGAGTGATGAAGACCTGTCATTGATGGTCTAAAGAACTCTTCGAGGCTCCGAAGTCAAAGTTTGCAGATTCCTCTGGTTGGTTTGCGTACGTTACACATAGGATCTTTTTTAAAAGAGGAACCACTTTATACCACCTTTTTCTAACTATGTTAATATAGAACGTTAGTACAGAAATGCAAATATGGTGAACAAATCATCTTAAATCTAAAGAAGCAGGTGAAATACAGAAATTAGTTCGGGTGGTATAGCGGGATGAGATGCCCGGATATGCTTTTAACGGCTCTCTGGTCCTGTTTAATCAAAGCAAGAGATCTGTGTGAATATTAGACACGTCATCACTAATTCTGTTTTTAGTTTTCTCCATCAGTATCAATGTATGTATAAGCTGGAGAGGGTATGGATGGTTGGTATCCAAACTAATTACTAATGTGTTGCAATACATCACGAAGCACTTTTCAAATGCTTCTAAAATAAGGGGATTAAATCTAGCCGAAATTAGCAAACTGCTGAGGGTGATGCATGCTTTTTTTTTTTTTTTTTCTCCAATCAAATTTAAGACTCCTCTTATTCTAATTACTGGTGCACTTTAGAACGTAAAACCTTTTTATACCAGTAAGAATTATAAAGGGAAAGAAGAAAAAAATCATTTAGAGTAGCAGGCTGTTACATTGAAAACCAGGCTTTTGTTGTTGTTGTTTTTTAGCCCAACGGTGCTTTGACTGACATCTAGGCTTCCTCCCCAGTGCATTACACCGCAAACACTGGTTACACAGAAACTTTTAAAATTGCATTTCAAATATGGCGATACCTGGCCTATTAATAAGCATAAATGCCATAGGAAGAGTGGGCCTCATTCAACATTTGTCTGTAGACTGAGAGCTGAGCAGCAGAAAGAAAGGACGGGTAAAAAGTAAAGCAGTGGGTAATAAATCATAAGGGCTGGAAATGCTTTGGTTGAACTGTTACTGAATTAAAAATAAAATCAAATTATATTAATTCAACGTTATATTAATAAACCTAAATTACGTTTTCAAAGTAACAATTGGCCTAATCAATTATTCAGCAATGTTTGACAGCTGTACTGTTATAGATCAGAGGGTATTTTAAACAGTTATATAAGACTCAGTTAGACTCAATCGTAAACTGAAGGAGTTTTAAACTTGTCGCTTTTGCTTCCTGGCTAAAGTATAGTCAGAGAAATGATAACTTGAATGCAGAGGTATCATTGAGAGATCCTTTGTAAAAATGGATTAATGGTCAAACAAGGCATATTCTCTAAATATTTGAATTAGAAAAAATGGATTCCGGTCTAAAATCCTAAATTGGTTTCACTCTACTCTTCCCACTGCAGCAGCCAAACATCATACATCTTTCTATGTGCTCTTTAGTCTCTTCCAAAATTCCAGAGGAATGAGTTCTCCTTTTCCTTCCTGTATGAGATCATCCATCCCACTGGTGGAACCCAGTTGGCCAACACTCAGGTCGCTGTCATCTGTTCAAAGTGTGTCCTTCTGGCCTCGGTGGCCATCTTCCCTGGCAATGGCAGCGGTTCTCACGCTGTGAGATGCACTCTCTTTTCCTTCTCCCTCTGTCCGCCATGAGCTCTCAGCTGGAGCTTTGATTCAGAGCCAGCCCATTTGAGATGATGGAGAATTATGCCAAAGAGTACAATGCTTTGCAACAGAGCCTGGCAGTGGATCCGCATGTCCTACAGTGATAAACCCGGTTCACTCTAACTCCCCTTGCTGGTATTTGAGCCAGCATAAAACTAACATTCTGGAGTTGGTGGATAGGGGGCAGAGTAAAGAGGCAAAGAGCGAATAAGATAGAAAGTACACACTAAAGATGGACATGCATCACAGAGTGCCACTGCATTAAAACATGGACGCCAGCACCTTTGACAGGTCCTTGAAATTGCTTTGAATTTAGCTCTTTTTTTTTAACCTGATCTTCGATCCCGGATAAGCTTGAGAGAGATTGTGAATGCTGGGTTGAGCTCTGGGTGTCAAAGGGGACTTACTCCCTTCCTCATTGTTTCTGCTGTTATAATACATTCTTTCCTCTCTGCTGAGAAACAAGAGTTTATGGAGTTGATGAGTTGACAGGTTTGAAAAAAAGGAGGTATAAAAAAAGAAGATATGGGAACTGAAGGGCAGAAAGAACAAAAAAAAGCTACAGTCAGATCAGCGGGGAGCAAAGAAAGATGTGCTCAGAGAAAACTATTCTTTTCAGTGTCTGTTGTTTAGCATGCTGCTATTTCTACCACAAAACTGTTTGTAGATTTGCTATTAGTATTCTGCATGTGAGGAGCAGGTGACAATAGCTATCATTTTATTATAACCAGGCTAATTTCTCATTATAAATCTAAAGACAATTTCTACATTTATTTTCCACCCGTTCTTATTGTTTTTACAGGAGTATTTCCCTTGAATCTCCTCAAATAGGTATTCAACTCTCTTTTAAATTTAATTCAGCTGTGGGCGAGTTCACTGCTTTAAAGGGGTCATAGAATGATTATATCGGGTATTAGGTGCTGGTCCTTGAGGTGTCTTAATAGGGTGTGTAACATTGGTTGGTCTGAAAATGGCACATTTGCTGTTCTATGAGCCCTAATGCAAGCCTGGTTAAAAGCCTTGGAATGAAAAGACAGGTATTCTTCTTTTTATGGTATGCTCATGAACATTTAGATGAGCTGTGCACTGATTGGTTGGTTTACAACGAGCGAAGCTGCTGAGCAAAGATGCATCATAGCAACAAGCACTCACTCACTGAAACATCGAAATTGTTGATATGATAGGGTGACCAGACGTCCTCTTTTTGCCGGACATGTCCTACTTTTCATACCTACAAAATGCCTTGAGGGAATTTCTAAATCATCCAGAATTTATGTCGACTACAGTGCAGCAGAACCGAGCTGTCAGCTCCGAGGCTGGCAGTACGGTCGGAACAGCCCCTCGTTTCAGTAAAAGAAGTTTAGCAAATCCTGCTTTGAACTGTCAGAGGTATGAAAGCTGTCTTTGGTAAAATGCTTAGAGCAAATGAACAGCTGAGCATCAAACTTTGCAGGGATCTTCTGATAGACAAAAATAATCCATGCCTGTCCAGTCTTCGGATCCATGGGAAGACTGTGAAAATTTCCCCTTTCTCCGTCCAGCCTGGAACACTATATTTACGCCCGTAGTTCTGGCAAATTTTCAATAGAGAAACTGCCTGCTTTGTATTGCTTGTAGAAATAAACCCAACTGTAGGATAAACAGCTAAACTGGTGTCTTCCATCGACTTCTATTCATGTTCTTGGGGCAATGAACCAGTGGGCTGGTCATTGTGTCAACTTCGTGACGTGACAAAAGTACAGGCCAGAACCAAATAAGGCAACATCCCCGAATTGTCGTCATTTCGGCGCTTCGTCTGGATTCGTCCGTTTAATGGTGGAAGTTTAGAATTGTGACTTTTGCAAAGAAAGGAGGTGTTGAAGAGGATGAACTTTTCTGTATGTCCATTTCACCCACTGAACTATAGTTATTCATCTATGACAATGTAAACTCTCTTTGCATTCTGTGACGCCTTTAATGGCTTCTAGGCGGGTTTGAATCATCCTTTTTATAAACTCAAAACAGTGAAGTTTAATCACAAACTAAGCACAGATTCTTGCAGGCACAGTTAGTGGATTTTGGTGCCTGCATTTAATTTGTTAATAATATCTCTACTAGGGGTTCATAAAATCCACGGTTCGGTTCGGTTCACGGTTTCGTGGTCACGGTTTTCGGTTCGGTTCAGTGTATGTTGATTGTTACACCGAAAAATAAAAAAATGTATGAAAATTATAAAAATTTGTGAAACAAATTTTTTTTAAATAAAATTAATGAAAAAATCCCCCAAAAATTTAATGAATTGTAATTATTTTTAATGATCCGCGGAAACCCTGGATCATTTCTGCATGTTTTGCTGCTTTGAATTTAATCATTTCGCACATGCCCTCGCGCATGAACCGAACGCAAGACACGCGAATCGAACCAAGACAGTCGAACCGAACGGTTCGGACGGTTTTCATAAACCGTTCCATCCCTAATCTCTACTATTACAGTTTTTTTTGTATTTTGTGACCTAGTTTAAGAAACATAAATTCAAATATTATAAATGTAACATTGAAAGAGTAACCAGAGTTTACAAATGAGTGTACATTCAACCAGTTATACATTTAGCATCAAGGTGTGTAAAATCAAAAGAAAGTAAAATTAAAAATGTATGTCAAACTAGCTGTATGTATAATTAATTAATAGACATACAAAATGAGAAAAAATCTGCGCTCTGCTGTATTTACCTTTATATTTATTTATGCTTGAATAAATTATAAACTCAAATTCCATATTTTCGTGTAAGCTGCAGGGATTTATAAAACGCAGAAGGAAAAAATGTATTATTCTGATCGTCCAATTACTTACCCACAGTTGACCCAGGCGATGGTCCCTTGTCCCTTCACTCTTTGGGCAACATCAGACAGCAGTTTTAGATAAGTGTCGCTCGATGTAGCTGTGGACAGGGAATAAAATCATCAGCCTTATTACCAAAACAGTTCAACAGCCCAGAAAAGCAGATTTTAACATTAGGCCAGACAAAGAGGAAACGAGTTGGATTACAGCAGATAGCAAACTTTCGCAATGGCAGAAGGTGAAGAAGAAAGAGTTCACTGGGTTTGGCTTAGAGCGATGATGGGAGAGGATTCTTTCAAACCTTTCAGGGGACAGATCCACATAAGTGGATCAAGTTGCATCCTCTTTCATCATTGTACAATGGAGTAAATGTCCAAAAGATGGGAGGATTACACACAAAAGGCAGAAATGATAAACCGCATCAACCTTTTGGGCAATGAGGATGAAAAGCAGGCCGGTTCATATGAGCTCTACATTTCACAAGCTATATTACAGGATATTCCAATTGTCTTTTATAAATTCAATCAAAACACTCCATGATGGCTAGGGACTTGCTCAGTCTCCTAAATCATAGATAAAATACACCTTAGGTGAACATTTCACTTTAAGGAAATAGAAAACAAACTTTATCAGCCAACACTGGATTATCTCAGACGCTTATCAGCTACGCAAGCAAAGTGAATTCCTCTGAGCAAAGTCAACAAAGAGATATTCTACTCCTTAATACATTTCAACATGTTATACTCCCCCAAAAATCATGTTCATGCATTAATTTTGTTTAATGCATGAACTGAACTACCTGAATGGTCCAAGACTATTTATAGATGCAAAAGGCCCTACTGACCTAACTCAAAGAACACCACTAAGAAAAATCATTTATAACGGGTTTAGGATCATGTGTGCTTTAAGAGGTCAGGAATAAATAGTCAGAAGACCCGGTTAAAACTGCCAAAGAAATTAGAGATACATCAATAAAGCTTTCAATAGATTTTCATCTTGTTCTGAAATGTCTTTTTCAATTGTTGAAGTTTATTTCCAAGATGCATCTTTTCATAAACTATGAACGTATCCCTGTAGCTGTTGATACTTCCACTGCCATGCTTCACAAGTGGGGGTAAACTATAAACAGGTCTACTTGTGGTTTTCTATTAACACTAGCTTGATTATGGAGGTAAATCTGAATCAAAATAAATGTAGCACCCTTGAAGTCGCAGAGAAAAAGACAATAGGAGTTTTATAATTGTAGAATTTTTTTTCCTCTTTCAAAATAATTAAAAAAAAAATTGAATAAAAAAATGAGTAAAAGTTGCTTGAGTTGTACATCAATAATCTCTTGTATTCTCAGTTTTTCTTCGGTAGATAATTGAAAAACATTAAAATCTTGCCACCATTTTTTAAATCACATTTTCCTTTTTCTTTTTTCTTTTTTAGCCCAACGGTGCTTTGAATGACATCTAGGCTTCCTCCCCAGTGCATTACACCACAGACGCTGGTTACACAGAAACTTTGAAAATTGCATTTGACTTATTGTGATACCCTGCCTATTAATGAGCATAAATGCCATAGGAAGAGTGGGCCTCATTCAAAAAACAGTTGTTGTTTTTTTTGGGGGGGGGGCTTTTACAGCACTAGATGTTTGTGTTTTGTTTTTTTGTTTTTTAGTAGAAATAAAGCAGTAGCAGAAATAAAGGACTGGTAAAAAGCAAAGCAGTGGGGAATAAATCACAAGGGCTGGAAATAGGGGAATTGATTTTCACGATTCCATTCCCTTATCGATTCTGTGAGACAATTTGATTCCTTATTGATTCTCGTCACAGTCATCTAAAAATATAATGGAGAAGGCATCTGTTTATGGAAAGAGCATTACTGTACAATAAACTCATCTCCACTTTATCCTTTTTCTCGCTTTCTGAACTTCCTAGCATGTTTCGTTACATCCATTGCAGTAGCTAGAATCATGTAAGAATTCCAGCTACCAGTAGTTCTAATTAAACATGCTAGCAATGAAGGGGTGGATTAACGAGAAAGACAGAAACCCTTAATAACCCCAAAGTAAGGTAGGAAAGGGGTTTATTTCCAGAAATGGCATATGATCTACTAGGAACCACATTAAGCAAAACCAGTCATATAAAACTAGCTACTTACCACCAGAGTTGCCTTCCATGCTGGTCGTAACTTTAGCTTTTGTCCGGAAGGCATCAAAAACACGGCATTCGTTAAAATGTAAGCAATGTTGTGTGCGCAGGTGTTTCTGCATGTTGCATGTATTTCCTCCCGCCACTTTGCAATGATTGCAAAGCGCCTTGTTACAATCTTTCTCTTCCTTAAAATGAAGCCAAACTTTCTATCGCTTTACCCGATGGGACGCCATTTTTTTTGTTTTGGTTTTCTAGACTTACGCCTGGTCACGTCGTACTTGCTTAATGAATGTCATGTGCATAACTGGCATAAAAAACGTGTCGTCAGTCGTGCTGCCCAGCGCTAGGCTCTGGTGCTGCCTGAACCCGTTAAGAGAATCGTTAAGCGAGCTGCCAAACAGTGCCAAAACGGTAAAAATAAAATATATATATTCAAAATTATATCAATAGACCTAAATCACGTTACAAAGTAAAGATTGGCCAAATTAATTATTCAGCAATGTTGACGTACCGTTAAGAATAAGAGGATATTTTAAACCGTATTATAAGACTCAATTGGACTCAATCGTACAATGAAGGAGTTTTAAACTCGTCGCTTCTGCTTCCTGGCTAAAGAACAGTCAGAGAAATGCAGAGGTTCATGCAGTCCCAGAACATATTGACTGAAGACGAAAAAATAATGTGACGAGGTTAAACATAGAAAGATCATAACATGCATGAGTGCATATTGTGATGTTTATAAATGAAAGCATCTGTGTGAAGACACAGCTGCTGCTTCTTCAAAGCCATAGTTCAACATGTTGAAGCCGTCCAGTCAACCTAAACCGGCTTAAAGTGTCATGAATCATGTGTCTCTAATGGCCTGTAGGATATGTTTACTCATTCTTTTTTATTATTTACATTTTTTTAACGAGTAGTGATTTTTAATGTATGTGAACAGAGGAACGATTTGAATTTAAACTCAATGGATGAATTTAGGCTTAAAATTATTCATAAGTTCGGCAGATCTACGTTTTTTTCCCATTCTATGCAGAAAGTGTAGGAAACGAGACAGCTATCTGTTCAGATGTAAAGTAAGAGGAAGGAAGCATAAAATGTAAGTTAGAGGAGGAACAAATTCCCTCAGGGAGTCTACCTTCCACCAGTGCAGCAGGTCAAAAATGAGGCTTTGACAGGGATTAATTATGTCGGCCATCCTTTACACAATATGATTCAATCGTTAGTGTCGCTGTTAGCTGACCGGTCATTTCCTTATTTAAGTAATATCTTTAAATGCTGCAGCAAAAACAGATGGTCATGTGGACAATGCTAGAGGTTCTTTGTTGCTGGCATTTGGAAATTGTTATTTCTGGTTTGTGATAAAGGCATCAAAACTAAGAATCCAAAATAAAAAAAATGTAACCATTTCGGGAGAACTGAAAGGTTATAAACTGTTCCGATTGGTTTTCGATGCCCAACCGTTTACATTGTTTTCAAGCTGTGAGGCAGAACTTTCATTTTAAGGTAAAGCTCTGCAGTATCGCTGTCAAATATCAACATACTAGTAAGTCCAACTTTTAACTATACCAGTGATCACCACCATCACAAGAAATCCCAGAGTGAAAAGGAAAGAACGAGCCCATCGCTCTGCAGCCAGAAAGCGTGAACTTGTTCAGAGAACTTGCTTTGCTTGTTCTGTTTACAAAATAGATTTTAGTAGTAAAATTTCAATGTTAGGTTGCTGTTGTGGATTTGAAAACATTTATAGAAACCAAATAAATGGAAAACTATAAAAATCAAATCAAACTGGAAAATAATAAAAAACCGATAACATCTTAAGCGTAAAAAAATGTAAAAATTTTTTACAGTTTGGTTCTGTTTCACTTTACAAAGTAAGCCCCATCAGATCTTTGGCGAGGTCTGAATGAAACTCTGGCTCAGATGAACACTTGAAAACCTGTCCCTTTTCCTCCGTCTAATCTTCATCCAATTCCTTCTAATCTGAATTCTATCAATCAAAAAAGCGTGAAAAAGCATCTACTAAATGGAATTTATCGGCTTGATCCTCATCGTCTTCTGTTGGCCTTTGCTACGTCGTGTCAAACCTAACTTGTGTGTTAATTACCCTAACATACCAAGATAGTGGGTAAAATCCTCTCGCCTTTTTAATCAACCAAATATACCACAAATATTACAAGTTAATTATTTATTTTTTTAAATATATATAGAGGAAATTTTAATCCTTACTTTTCTGGTTGTTTTATGTATGGCTAAATACTCAGGTTATTTGTAATGCTGGATAAAAATTAAACAGTTTTAGCTAGAAGTATAACTCAGTTTCCACAGACTTTTTCAGCCTTCACATTCAGGAGCCAAATGCTGACATGAAGGCGGCAAAAGAAATAAGAAGAAATCAACTCTGAACCAGCCAAATGGGTTTTTCCCTCCATTAATAAAATCTACATCAATAGATTCAGCAGTTTCCTTGGATGCAGAGGGAAAACCTGTGGGCTGAACAAATTGTCATTGATTTAGAGCGGTTATTTCGAACCTGTCTTTGTGTAGAGCACCAGAACATTGGTTCTTGTCCTGAGCAGCTTCTTGAAGTCCTTGTGGTCGCTGACTTTTTCTATGAGAGGAGACACTTTCACAGCCTCCATCAACGACAATGACAGCATCTGGAGAAACATACACAAAACATGCATTTTAGGCACAACACTTACACAACTGGCCGTTAAGGTTTTCTAATCGTTTAAGTGACAAAATGCTTATAACTCAAAAAAAGATTCCTCATCCTCCTTCCCTCATATAGTATAGTAAGTAAAGTAATAACTGTTTATAATATAGTAAAAATAGTTTCCAACTTGTTTTTTCTTAGTTAAGGGGGAAGTTTCCTAACTATTTAAGAGGTTTTTTGTGACTCCCTTCAAAGGTTATATAGTGAGGAAAATAAGTATTTGAACACCCTGCTATTTTGCAAGTTCTTCCACTTAGAAATCATGGAGGAGTCTGAAATTGTCATTGTAGGTGCATGTCCACTCTGATAGGAATAATATTAAAAAAAAAGAAGCCAGAAATCAAAATGTATGTTTTTTTTTTTTTACTATTTATTAGTATGATACAGCTGAGAATAAGTATTTAAACACCTGTCTATCAGCTAGAATTCAGAGCCTCAAAGACATCTTAGTCTGCCTTCATAATAGCTTGGTTCTGACGACCGTTTACACATCAGGCTATCTCGGTTTTGCAACTCCTCGCCTCCTAGTGACGATCTGCGGTATTACTGCCAGTATTGAAGGAGGAAATCAAGCAGTTGGAGGCGGTAATGCACCAAAAGTTGTTTGCCAGCCGCCATAAAACACAAGAAGAAGAAGACGAAGAAGGAGGGAATCAAGCACATCAAAATGGCGGCGACCGTCACATTCAGAAAGTTATCCTTGATATTATTGCTGTACTTCGGTGTTTGCGGAGGGTCAGGCGAAGACGGCAACCTTTCGTGGATGTTTATAGTTTATAGTTGTTCTTCTTCTGTTTTGTGTTGGTTGGCAAGCAACTTCCGGAGGGGCATTACCGCCAACTACTGGAACGGAGTGTGAATGGGGATGTGCAGCCAGACGGAGATGACGGGTTCTGCTCATGTGCTCTTGTTATAAGAGAACCGAGCCAGGGAAAAACCGAGCCGAGCACACCTCTGGAACTGGTCTGAGGTTAGCTCGGTTCGGTTGTGTCTTGCTTGGTTCAGTTCAGTTTGCTTTCCATTTACACACAATAAGTTATCTCAGTTACTGAGCTCGGACCGGTCTTGGAACGGTTTTTCAAGGGTAGGGTAAATGGGGTAATAGTCTACCAGATGCACCTGTTTGAGGGCATTAGCTGCATAAAGACACCAGTCCACCCCATACAATCAGTATTAATCCAGCTACTAACATGGCTAAGACCAAAGAGCTGTCCAAAGACAGTAGAGCCTAAATTGTAAACTTCCACAAGGCTGGAAAGAGCTACAGGGAAATTGCCAAGCAGTTTATTGAAAAAAGGTCCACTGTTGGAGCAATCGTTAGAAAATGGAAGAGCCTAAACATGACTGTCAATCTCCCTCAGACTGGAGCTCCATGCAAGATCTCGCCTCCTTGGGTCTCAATGATCCTAAGAAAGGTGAGAAATCAGCCCAGAACTACAAAGGTGGAGCAGGTCAATGACCTGAACAGAGCTGGGACCACCGTTTCCAAGGTTACTGCTGGTTATACAGTAAGACGTCATGGTTTGAAATCTTTAAAAAAAAAAATCAGTATTAGAAGAACATAAGTAACTCTTTTAAAAAAGGCTGGATGCTGGCTGTAATGATAATGTGCAACAAAATAGGGACTTCAAAAACAGAAGTGCAACATCAGTCTGAACAACTGCTGCGCCTTTGCAATTACCAGCAGTTGAACAAATCGTGTGAAACTTCTAATGTAGGAAACAAAGCCCAAACTGTGTGGCTTGGACTTTAATCAAAGATGACTAAAGAAAAGAAGACTGATTACTCTCCATCCACATAGAGCCATTTCTTTGCATTCTAATCCTCTGTGAGCCTTCACCATTCATTAAAAAGCACCTTATTTCTGCCTACAGGGAAGTAAATTAGACACCAAACATTGTCTGAGCGCTCAGCGGATCCAGTCTGATGAGTGATATCAACCAGAATGAAAACAAGCACCTGTCAGGCTCATTTTCTATTTTAATTTGTAATAAGATCTGAGGTGAGCGAGTGCTGTGTATCTGAAAATAAGTGGATCATTTGCATAAAAGTATATTTGAAAATTAACACAAATCTAAGGGGCTCAGAAAGACAGTGAAGCTGTTTGTTTATCAATGTGCTGCAGCTTTGTTCTAAAGAGAAATGAGTGATGGAAGCTCAGTCCAGCTAATAACAGGTGGTATATTCACCTTATCAGCATGTTATCAGCTCTTCACATACGACACAAAAAAAACATTCAAACAGCATCCGTTAGCTTATTTTTTTACATTCTTTCTGCCTCATTAAAAGCCACTAGTGTCATGTATATCTTAGGCATGAAATGCTATATATAAAACCAAAGCAGCATGAAGCATAAATCTGATTAAGGAAAATTAGACATGATTTCTAAAACATTCTTCCCCCCAAAAATGTTAAACTTTTGGCATGCATTTGTAATTAGCACCTCTTTTATACTTTGTTGTTAATTGTTTTAGTCTGATCTCTGCATCGATTACTGCCTTTTATTCCCTGATCCGAATGTCTATCTGAGTGCCTTAAGCCTCTGCTGGAGATTTCTTCCTCTTAAAGGGGAGATTTTCCTCTCAACTGTCGCTAAAAGCATGCTTAAGGTGAGGGATTGCATTTGAGTCAATGAGTCGATGCAATCAACTAATCTAGTGAACTCTAAAGTGCCTTTAGATGACATATGTTGTGAATTGGCGCTATATAAATAAACTGAATTAAATTGCCTTCGACTATGCAGCTAAGTGTCAAGCAGTCTGCAGCCGCAAGGTAACAGTTTCCTTTCAGATGTGCCGCCTTATTAAGCTCCATTCAACTCTCTCAAGCTTCCCTGATCCTGATTAGTATAACTATTCCTTAGCATGATGCGGCCACTACCATGGTTCACGCTGTTGATGGTGGTTGTAAGCCAATAAGCATTTTGTTTTCTGTACCAACAGCATTTTTTATGTCTACCAAAAAGTTCATATTTCATATCAAAAGACCTTATAGCCATAGTTGCTGAGTTTTCAAAACAGCTTTAGTCCAACTTTAAAACTTTTCATAAGGACCAGATTTACAGAGTGCATAACCAGAAGTTATCCATTTTCCTGCAGAGCTGCTGATCTCATTCCTTAGTGGTGAGTTTAAGGTAGACTTAAGGGCTGGTTATACTCCTGTAGCAGTGTGTCGCAGTGAGCTTGATGCAGAATTCTTAGATTTATGCTCAATTTTGAGCATGATCTGCGCTATACGCTGTGGGTCTAGATACGGCTGAGGCGGTGAGGAAGTGGGGGCGAGTTTGTCCGACAACGGAGGGACATGAGGGCGAAAAAAAGAGGGGATCCAGGTGGAAAAAGGGTCCCAGCATTCTCCCGCACGTTGCTCTTCTAGCGGGTCAAACTTCACGAATTGTTTTCCGCAATTACTGTCATAAAAACAAAAACAAACCGGCCTCCTGTCTGCGGTTAGCAGAGTGTCTGCGGAGGCGGCGGGGACGTCTTTTTGTTCACTGTGACACACACGCAGACGACCTGGTTTCCAAGTATAAATCAGCCTTTAGTCTAACTTTATTGGTATTAAATTTATAAATTTATTGGTCTTGGTATTACTCCTTCAGGGAAATCCTGGTTCCAGTAGTTTATATAGAGTACAAAGAGTTAAAGCAAGATGCCATTAAAGATATATATATATGTCAGACAATATAAAGAGTGTATATAGTACAAAAAAGCATAAAAAGAAAAAAAGGTTACAATGTCCTGGAGTATGTTTCCCTTAGCTATAAAAGGTGAATAGCCATGTTTAAGAAAGTTTGCAGGTGTACCATGCATCATCTTTTTAAAGGTGATGAATTGAGCTCCATGAAATATTTAAAGCAAAACCAATTGCCATCTAGCTTAAAGATTTCCTTTCAACATACTTCTCCTGTGCTGTGTTCCTGGGTCTTCGTGAACCCATTTCACTCGCCATTGTTGTAACTCCAGGGGTTCGATATTTTTTTTAAATAAAGATAATTCTGATGCAAACTAGTTGTGCTGGGTTTTAGCAATGGATGTCAAAGTAAAAGGGGCCTGAACACAAATACGCAGCAAACTTTCCACAGTTCAGACTTCAATAATATGCATCACTGTTTGTTATTTTGCAACACAGAATCTTAATCTGTTAAACAGCAATGAAAGTTCAAGTGGATACTTATATCAGACACTGGGTTGTAGGAACCAGACAGTTCATATTGATAAAAAATGACCCTTGAAACCAGCTTGCTTCAGTGGCAAAGCGACTGCACTGCATCCAGCCATATGGCACCACGGACGGCACACCATTAGTCTTACTAAGTCTAATATGCATTTAGCTGCGGTGTGTTTGTCATCTGTGTGAAATTGATCGAGTAGATATGCCAAAAAAGTAAACATAAGACGTTTCAGGTTGGAATGGGACCCAGGAGGAACACTTAGGAAAGAGAGCAGTCTCGTTAGTGGCTGGCTAGGGACATATTTTCACAGGAGAGCAGTCTATAATTATTAGTCAAGGGCAGAAGGAGCTATTGGAATAAGGTAAAGTTAAAAAAATAAATAAAAGATCATTGTCCAACTTATCCATATCCCATAAGAAATAAGCTTCATTTGGACTTAATTTTACTGTTGAAGAAACATACCTTTCTCTGAAATTTCAGCACAAATGCTTCTTTTAGCAATACTAAAATCCAATGCTATTAATAAAAAATTTATACAAAATAAACACCTTTAATATAAAAAAAGATGTTAACTAATAGCAGCCACAGTCAACCAAGTATTTTCAATGTATAAAAAAATTGAAAGGGGCATAACATTTATGCAAACAATTTGGTGCCACATATAAGAAAAGAACAAATTCTGTCTAAACCATTAAACCGTTTGAAAGATATAGAGTGCAAAATGATTGCAGACAAAGAGAACATAATGCATTATACTTGATAAGACA